CAATCTGCTAGAACACACTGCAGTCCTCCAACGCGCTACCCTCCCTGCAGAAACATTTCACCTTGCACTACCTCCTGTTGATGCCTCTTGCTGATGTGCTGTTTATACAGCTACTGATGTCACTGTAGAAACAGATCCTCATAAATCCTTTTAATTCCTGCAGATCCCTTTAAATGTTCCTACGTAGGCAGAGCAAACAATGTTGTCCTCATCTCCAAGTGACACACAAAGTCACCTGTTTTCTTGAGGCTCCAGATCAACTTCGACTTTCACCCAACAGTTTTTCCAGTCCAGCATTCCAGGTGCCATGGCTCCACAGCACTCTGCTCAGTAGCAACAATGCCCTCAGCACTGCGTTCTGTGTGGCTTCAGCGGAGCAATACCCCTTCCTGACAGGTTGAACAGACTGAGGGCGGAAGGGGACAGGGACCATACCGCTTCCTCCAGCAAAAAAGGTATGCAATAGTTCAGAGAACAAAAAGGAACAGGGCAGCAGAAGTATTTGCATAAGCAGCTACTATTTTTATGCAGATACTCCTGCTATGTACTTTTTCTGGAATCTTCACCCATTTACTTCGTAACAGCAATTTGTTAGGATATTGGAAAGAAAATATCCATTCAAGGGCAAGCTGAAGAGACATGAGAAAAATACCTTCACACCTCAGGTCCTTGTAAAACTTCCTGCATGTTATTGCCCTCCAGAACAGGGCAGGGAAAAAAGCTTCTCTGGAACACTGTCATCACTACATTGCCATCTTCCATTATGCTGGCCCGAAGTGGGAAGTCACTGACAGTGCTATTTGTTTTCCATCACACAGCTCCCTCTCCCAGCTAGGCAAGCCGTTCTCTCAACCAAGTATCAAAGGCAGGGCCTACACAAAAGCCCCTGTATTACTCAGCGGTGTTTGGAGGAGCATGGCACACGGACAAAGCCTGGGCAGCTGCTCCAAAAGCACTTCGGTCACCGAATCCAGTTCAATACATTGACAGCCGTTTGACTGACAGCATTCAGTGCTTTCTTCCATATAGAAAATCGTACATGGAGACCAATTGTCTAACCCAAACAACAGATGTAGTTATAAAGTCTGGTTTGCACAGCAGAGAATCAAAGTATTCACATTTGCTTACAGTCTGACAATCAAAAAAGTAGAACTGCAAAAAAACAGGCTACAAAACAAGACCACCAGTTTGCGAGCACACCCAGTTAGGAGCCATGTGTTAACCATATTGCACGGGGATACAGACTGTACGGGAAATCAACCCTTTCAAACCGTGCTGTGTTTTGGCAAATCCAGTAGGATAGAAGGAAATCCATCTGCACTAGAAATGGAAGGAAATTCACCATTAAATCATCTAACTGAATCTAAAAGGAGGGGGCAAAAAAGAAATCTCAGTCTTGATGCAACTGTCTTACACTATCATCACCTTATGATAGGGAAGCCTACAAACAAATCTAAATACACACTGTGCAATAAAAATTTGATACCGTGACCATCTGTCTGACAAGAGCAAGGTAAGAACTGCAAGAAAAAAAAGAAGAAAAAAACCAAAACCAAAACAAACAGATTAGATTTGTAAGGGGATGGGAGGGAGGCTGTGGAAACCGAGTGGGCAGACGGGGAAGGGGGCCAACAAGCTTTTAGGACAGACCTGTATGATTCCCAGCTAAGCAGAGAAAATTAATTGCATTGTGTTGTCTAAGCTCTACCCAACAAATTTTATTACATGGATTAAAGCTATGCACACATTCTTTATATGTATGCAAATTAAGAACAGTATTCCTGTAGTAACAATAGTGTAACTTTTCATTTGGAAAAAATTCTAGTGATCTTGATTATCTACTTATTTACAGTTTATTGCTATTACTCCAATATAATTGTGAGCTCAGCACAGAAAAAGTAATATTCAGTGTTGGATTAAATACTGTACAGCAATGGGGTAAACATAGCATGAGATATTAACCAAGGACTTCTTAGTAAGAAAATGCAGACCTTTAACATCCATCCATATCAGATAAGAGTATTTCAGAGAAAGAATGAAACTAATGGAAAGGATTTCCTTTCCTTAAAGCCTAAAAGCTGCAAGCTGAAGACCGCTATCCGTTCTGCACACACCTTGAATTTTCATCTTTCTAATCCTTGCTGTGCAAGCCTCATTCATTTAAACTCTCTTAATCCCTCTCAAGTTCTACGTAATTTGTACCCTTAGCTACAAATACATCTCCATATATGTAACCTAGCCGTAAGACAGAAGTTAAGGTTGTCTTCTGCAATAGAGGCTAAAATTGCTTTAGAATACATTACGCACTGGAATGCATATTCAAGATCTCACTCCTGTTAAGAAATAATGCTTTAAATAAAATTTAAAAATCAGTGTAAAAGGAGAATGAGGCAACCATGTCACTCCAACAATAAGCTAATCAACAATGTGTGTACACATTGCTCTCTGCACTTCCAGACAAGAGACAGATGTACCTTTAAAAAAGCAGAAAGAACAAACTAAACAGAAAAGTCTCAATGCTGGGTTACATCCCTCATGCTCATTACTACTAATGAAGTGTAAAAATTGATAAGCAGATTTTTAAATTACAAAACAGGTATAAAGTATCTTAATGGTCACAAGTTCTTTGGCTTTCCTTGTTCTTTCCCTCGACAACCTCCTCCAGATCTGACACAGCCACTTCCCCCACCTCCTTTTCTTCACACAGCGCAGAAAAGATGGGCAACGAGCAAACAAAGCACGCTGCCTGCGGCCAGCACCAGTCCTTGGTGAGCCTGGGCGAGCCAGCCCTCAAATCCTCTGCCAGATCCTGCAACCCCTTCCAAACTCGCAGGACAAGGAACTGCTCCCCCAGCAGCCAGCTCCCTTCTTGCTGGTTTTGCAACCACCACCACCAAAACCTGTCTGACCCAGCGCTCCGCATGCGAGAGCGGACTGTTCTCCCCCAGCACCAGCCACAGGTGCCCCTGAAGGTCCCCCTGAACGCCCGCCGGGCGGGGGGGCACTTGGCCAGCCCCCCCAGAGTGTGTCTCTGACACACCGCCGTGCCTGCGGCTTCACCTTGCATTTCAGCTCATCGTCTCCCCCAGTGCGTAACTCCTGGCAAGCAAGAAGGTACAAGCCGTCACTGAAGCTCTTGCCAGCCTGTGCTTAAAGCAGATTTCTCTTCTGAAAGGACACTCTCCCTAAAAATACAGCGTAGATGATCCAAGCCCTCCCCACACTACCCAGCTTTTGTAGGGTCTCTCCTCTCCTTTGTCAATTCTCTGCCAAAGGTACAAACTCTGTGTAACCACAGTGCCGATGCCTGCTGTTCTGCACATACCCCCTCTACGCAAGTACTGCATCAGAGGTACCCCAAGCACTGCACCTTCTGGATAAAGAGCTACTATTTCTCCATCCTCCTCCAAGACAAAAATGAGATCACAAACCGATTTTCCACCTTCATTTTCAGCAGTCTTTTTGCAATAAAGCCAGTGCATTGCATTGTAGTACTGGGCCCACACACAGCTGTTCTTAACAGATTCTCAGTTATTTTTCATCCTCTGACACTGAAAATAAGACTGCCACCGAAGCTGACGCTTTTGCAGGCTCCCTATCGCTACTGCTCAAGCAACAAACATGAACTCGGCTACAAGCCCTGACCGAGATAAAAACATTTCTTTTGAATAGTCTGAAATGTTATTTGAAGCATTTCAATAGATAAGCTATTCTGGCAAACGCTGGTAGGTCCAAGTGCAAACAGACTCTACAACTTTCACACGGACGAGCGGGGATGGAATGCAACACCTCCCCAGCCAGCAGAATGCCAGCCCGCCGGTCTCTGCAGCTGGTGCCGCCCACACACACAACTGGCATTTTAGAGCCCTTACAGCAACTACAACTGGATAGAGCATTTGAAACCTTCACATCTGTGCTCATACAATGCGATTTTCGCAGTTGAGTATACAACACCTCACGGATATATCAGACAAGATTTTACCTCATTAGTTTCCATGGTTTTAATTTGAATCTATCTCTAGTTTGTTCCAGCAGTGTTACTACAGCAAAATGATCATTTGATAGAAAAGTAATATAAAACTACCATAGCCCTTAAGCCAGTGCTTTGAACAGTAAAGCCAAACATAACTACTCCTTGTGGTGGAACAAACAACTGCAATCAACACTTTTAAAATACTATGTCAATAAACACAAATTTTTACTCAAAAATGAGGAACACAGCTAGCTAAATAATCTAATTCTCAAGCACAATTTCATTTTGGGGAAAAAGTTAGCCGGCAGCAGCCCCAGGTTAGATCTTGAAACTTTACACCAGACCCTAAAAACCTCGTGTGGCACGTCCAAGACGTCCAGAGCACACCGCAAGCTTCCGCTTCTGTCCCCAAAACACCCCAGATAGACAACATCAGTATCGGCATCTGTTTTGACCTGTAGCTAAGCTGCTGTGCATAGGCACTAGCTAGCTAATAACAATGTGGGGGAAATCAATGTCATAACAGAGATGAGATCTTAAGTCACCTGATTTATATTCCACAAACAGAACACAAGAGAAGAACTCTACAAAGAAATCACAGATTCAGAGAAAAACCCATCAGAGAGGTTGGAAGAGATCTCTACATGCCACCTAGTCAAATCTCTTGCTCAGATCAGGTCTCATTTTAAAGTTGCAGCAAAGTGCTTTATCTAGTTTAGTTTCAGAATTCCCAAGGACAGAGATTCCACACGATATACAGAAAATTCATGTAGTAGAAAGAAAAAAGGGTGTCTCTTTTTCAAAGGGGAGCTAAGTTCATTCCAACAAATCCGATACTACAAGATATAGTCATAAGCTTTTGCATAAATATCCATATTTGTTTCCAGTGGAAACGTGGCAACCTGCCCCTAGGACAATCATAGTTTAAATTAACAGATAATACACGGTGCCGTCTGCTGCAGCCAACTAACTGGTAGCTCTGGTGCACAACTACTTTCAAAGGAAACATAACATGAGAGTTTCTTACCTCCAGGCCTGTATACAACATCATCCTCTGTGATAAAGGACGTTATTTCGCCGTTGTCTGTTCTCTCATATCGGGACTTCTTCTTGGGCGGTTTCTTTTTGCTTTTCTTTGTGGACTCCTCCGTGGTGGCACTGTTGTTGTCGTTGTCCTCGTCTTCACTGTGGTCACTTTCTGCATAATTCTTGGCGCCTCCTTCCAACGTACAGCTCCGCCGGGGACGCGAGTTCTCACTCTCCCTCACCTTGTCTCTCTTGTCTCGCTCCTTATCCCGGTCTCTATCCCTGTCCTTCTCTTTGTCTTTGTCTTTTTCTTTGTCTGCTGTCATGATTCGCCACGTGCCTTCTTCTGTCCTCTCACGGCTGGGCCTCCGTGAAAGGTAGACAGTGAGCCTGGGCTTCAGTCTTCTGAATTTCTCACTCAAATCCAGGAAAAATTCAACCACTCCAACAACCCCAGCGTTTTAAAATGGTTCTTGAAGGGGGGGAAGAAAGAGGGGAAAAGCCCATGTTAATATTCAAAATTCTTTCAATCTGTGAAAATAAAAATTAAAACCAAAGAAAACCCCCCCCCCAACCTAAAGCAATTCACTATGGAAAACACAAGACAGCAAAATACAAGGTGGTCTTTTCAAGCATTCGTAGAAGTGATCACTTATGAAGTATCTGTAAAACTTTTGAAAGCTTATCTCCATCCTCAAAAAGATCTCACAACTCCTTAAAAAAAAAAAATCCTTTTGCTCACTACAGAAATCTAATAACTTCTTGGACGGGAAGCGCTCACTGAGAACAGCGATCATTTTACGCCTGAGGCTGAACAGCAAGCATGCAAGCAAAACAACAGAATTTAGGAAGGGACAAGTGCAAGAAAGGAAGAGTCTACAACTTTTTTCCCCTCGAAGCAAATGAAAAAGTTTATCAAACGGCCGAGTTGGTTTACGTCAACAGCACCAGTAAGGGATGCCCTGCAAAGCGGGTGCAGAGCAAAGCATGCCATCTGCCAGCCCCGGGGCAGTCTGCCGGGGAGCCTTCCCCCCGCCCCGCTCTGCCAGAAACAGAGCTAACCTGTAACCCACAGACTACAGGAACCAATTAATTGTAACCAAACCACAGTATTTAAAAGTGCACTAATAAAATCAGCTTTTCCATATATCAAAAATACAATCTTTCATGTTTGCTTTCCCAGTAACGGAACACATGAAGGTGGATTTTATAACTCATCACCTTCACACATTCGTTTTCCTGCCGGGGAATAGGAAGGGAAGAGATAATCCTATGTTTTTATTTCCCTGATCATTTAATCAATACAGTTAACATCAGCCACATTATTTTTTCCTTCAGTGAAAGTTTACATTTAAAGAATTGGACTTGCTGTTACACGAGTATTTGGAAGCTTGGCCCCACGGGCCAGGATCCTCAACCCACAGCCAAGCGCACAGAACGGCTGCCTGCTGTCACGGTGAAACCCAGCTCAGCTGCTCACTCACTCCCCCCAGCACCCCGCAACCGGGGTCCGCATTCATTCCCCGTGAGACAGGATTACCGTACCGCAGTCACATGAAACCTAAAGAATACCGGTCCTAATATTCTTCTGATGCCAAATCAAGAGTTTCCTTAAAACGTCCTTTGTATTGCTCAGACTGAAATATCTGGACTGACAGGTTGCGCGATACATCTCCGAGTGCCACCCAGCAGCAAACACAGTGGAATTTTTGGTCCCTTTTCTGGAAAGGCTCTAATGAATTTGCACTAATAGAAGGATTTACAAGTGCCTTTTCATACTGCTCAACAGCAGCAGTCTGTGCAGTTACAGCTTCTGCTGACTAAGAATCATATCATTTTTTCTGTAAATATTCATGAAAAAAGCTGTTTCACCAAAGGTCCACCCAAATACAAAGCTAAGGTACCTTTTTTTCCCTAGTTCACCAGGATAAAGCTTAATTTACCCACAGCCAATTCATAAGTTTTCAAGAAACTACTATTTGGTGCAACCTGAAATCAAGCCACTGCGCAGAACGCTATGGCATGACATTCAGGGACCTACGAAGATTGAATGTTCATACATTAAGCATCTGAAACCACATTAGCAAAGGAAAAAAGACTTTTGATTTTTAAGAAGTCAGCAATCCTGTGTATTTGAAATCTCTTCAGTCTTACATGAATCTCAGACTACAATATTCTTGTCCCTGTTGACTACTACTTCCAGCAGTGGAAACAGCCAGAGAGAGACAAATTGCTTTTGCTGACACAATTCAGGCTGTGGTTCGAATCTCCCAGGCATTTCCTGAATGAACCGATCATCCAGGTAGGAAATGATTCTATTTTCTTTCCTCCTTGCAGCAGCTGCCATCATTCTGATAACACACAAGGGGAATCCAATAGAACTCCAGTGGAGAGGACTACAATGAACCCGTCAGTTGCCAGAGAAGCTGTAGATAATAGCGATAGCAACAGTCTACAGGGACTCGGTAAGAAATGTCTTATGTTTCCAGAGGCTAGGAAATTCCCCAGCAGCAAGCTTGAGGGTTTTTTCTATTGTTGTTGATACAAAATTAATTTTAGAGAGTAAATAATCTATCCATTTTCAATGACAACTAATTACTTTCCCAGAGCAATCTAAAAATTACAAGTAGTGGCCTCTCAACTTATGTACAAGAGACCTTTACGTCCTTTAGGGCTCAGAAACTAAAGGATACACCTAAAAAATTTTATTCCATGACCTCCAAGCATGGCTAAAATCCAGCCACTTCTGATGATTCTTATAGAGTAGCCCCAGTTCTCAACAACTCAATTTTTGAGTTAGGTACAAAACCACAAGAAACCGAAGCCTAAACAAAGCAGCTATCCTTTCAGAGGTTTTTCCATTGCTTCTTGTCTTGTAGCTTATCACTACCCCCTCCTGTTTATTAAGACTTGAATGCTGTTTACAAGTTAATTTTGGAGATTTAAAAAAAAAAAAAAAAAAGGAAAAAAGCCAAGGAGCAATTCCTTTTAGTCTTGTTTTCACTGAAGTCAAGAATGTTTTAGCAGCATCTAAGAAGCATTTGCATTGAAATACAACATTTCTCCTTGCTACCTCCCCACTTTTTATTTACTAACACCAGAAGCCAAAAGCAAACAGCCATTTATAAATACAAGCATACACCCAATGTTTGGAAGGATCTCTTCAACTGTAAAATCATAAAGTACCTTACAACCAAAATACTACGTTATCTAAGCCGAAGCATTTGGATTTCATCTCACATATTCTTACTTCACCCACCAACCACAATGGAACTGGAGACTACTAGCAACTCCATACTCAAAAGCCTAATCACTCTGGACCAAAACGTAAATACTGTGAAAATGCGTTTGCTGACTCAACATTATTCATCAGTTACAGATGTTGTGGTGGGTTAAGCACTTTCATCTTTCTATATGTAATTATGCATGAATATGGAACCCATAAAACCAACACCATGACAAAAATTACAAAAATATTTCAAGCCTCTTTTGTTCCCTAAAGGAAACTGGGATAATACATCACGTGTATTGCCAAACACAGTAGTGACACAGATGTTTAAATCTGGATTAGGACAGCAGAAGCAAATCCACTGAAAATCTTCAGTGGTTTTTGACAAGCTCTGCAGCTTGGGTTTCCAGTAGTTTTGCTCCCTGGCAGCTCCTCATGCTCGCTATACCAAACACCCACCAAAGCAGCTGCTTCTGCCATCATACTACAGGAAAGAAATTCAGATTACAGCACCACAGGTTCAGGAGTATTAACTGCCTTTGATACTGGTTTACTGCTTCTTCCACAGGGAATTTTTTAGAGATTAATCTCAGAAAGAAGACATTTAAGCTACAAGGAAAACATTCATTTTATGATGCCCGAGCCTGTTGTACAAAGGAGTGGAAGAATAGCCTCTGCCTGTTATTTGTTCAATGCAAGTTGAAAAACCTGAGGAAAAATGTAGCTTTGCTGCAATCAGACTCTAAGATTTTTGTTGTTGCTGTTATTTTTCAGCTAACACCTCAGGATATGTCCATCCATCCAAGTAAGTTTTACGTCCAGTATGGGATAACTTTATTTATCCTCCCAGTTTGTCACCGGACATTAGAGGCTCTTGTTACCTTAAAATGTTTACAAGTCCAGCATAAACCAAAAATGTGTTTGCGGAGCTACCCGCTGAACGAACAGAGGGAGCCAGGATTCCGGGAGGAGGCAGAACTTTAATCCAGGAGTCTGGGCCAGACGCGATGCAGGCAAGCTGGCAGTAAGTGTCCCAAGCAAAGGGAAGCCTGGAGGCAGGTGTTCCACCCCGTCAGAACACCGGCCCTGCAGCATCCTGCTCCTGAGTACAACATCCCCAGCACACTAACCGCTTGCAAACACTGCATCTTTTATACAGAAAAGGTGTTTAACGTTGCACAACAGTTTCTCAGAGCAGTTCAAAGTATAACAACTTCAGACAAGTCTCAAAGGTGACTCCTCTGCCTGCAGAAGTTCCAGAGGAACACCTCGGCGCAAACGAAGCTGGATCGCAAAGCGCCAGGGTTACAGTCCCCGCACTCCCGAAATGCTCTGTTGTACCTGGCACCTATTGGAGAGGCGGTGTGAGAGCATCACCACCCCAGAGAGCAGCTCGGAAAGGTCCCAGCCCCTTCCCAGGACACCGGCTGTTCCTGCATCTTTCTATTAGTCCTTCTCTAGCCAAACCCAGCAGCAGCCAGGGGTTAGATCCGACTCTCTCACTAAACGCTTGTCAGTTCCACCCCGAGAGAGAGAGAACCAAAGATATTATAATGAATATGATAAGATTTGCCCATGCATTTTCAAATGCAATCTCAAAAAAAAAAGTTATTGCCAAAGTATCTTGTGAGAAATCAAGCAGGCAAGATTTAACCTTTAAACTTAATTTAAAAAAAAATGAAGTGCAGAAGTTCATAATCGTTCTTTTCAACTGATCATTACCCCACATTCACCTGGTTAAGGATTTTCCTACAGCATTTTAAATTTAGTTCAAATTAAAGTTTAATCATTTGTTCAGACACGAAAAGTCAGGACAGCGAGATACTACTTCTCCAAGAAATGAGTTATAGGCACATCTGGGCACTGAGTTACCATGGCCAAGCTGCAGTGACCCCACTACACACAGCTCTGCAGTTATTTGATCTACACACCTGGAAACCATTATCAGAGCAAAAGGCACACATACTACCTCTTTCCACATTAAGTACTTAAACCTCTGAACTAGTATTAAAGAGTCAGGTTTTAAAGATAATGTGCAAGCAAGTCCAACAGAAATGCTGTGAGACTGAGACAGGAAGGCATCTAAGCATGCAGGGT